ATTCACTAGTGTAATGATGGTGAATTCACTAGTGTAATGATGGTGAACTATGACAGATTCATAGTCCACCACAAATTCCAGGCCACAAATTCTGATAAACTACAGAACACTAACAGTTAAAACAGAAACAGCAAAAATGAACAGATTCACATCCACACCTGAGGGCACAGTGGCACACAGGAATACCCAGGATGTGTGCGATGCCATTCGATCAGCCTGATTGACAGCATTTGTCTTCTGGTTAATTGGATGGGGATAAGGGGTAATAGACTCTGGAGGCTAGGTAGATCCACACTGATGAGCACAGGCCTGAGCAATTGGAGGTTGAAGAGAAGGAAAGCGATGACAGGAGGCAGCTCTGCCATATTCAGTAGGTAAAAACTGAAACGGCATTTACCTCCTGGATCCAACAGAGCTCAAACTGTCAGGATTTCCCAGAATCAGTAAGGTGTAGTTTTGGTAGAGGAACAGCAGTGCTTTTACTGAATGGCAGAGCAGACTCTAAAAGCTCTCTCTCCTATTTCTTATTAATATTCAAAATCTGGCATGTTTCTCTCATCAGGGTTTGCATTGATAAGATTGATAAAACCACACTAACCTTTTTTCTCTGTGATCAGCCGCACCAGAACTCCGATGGTGTCTTCATTGGTTTCATCAGATCTGAAAGAATCTCCATTCATAGCTGCTGTAAAAGAGAAGAAATGAAATGAGGAGAATTTCTGCAGAATCAAACAGTGGCTGACCTTTCCATTGTTGAGCCTCTTTTTTGACTGACTGACTTTCTAGGGGTGATTCTCTGATCTGGGAAATGGTTGGAACAGGCTGGGATTCCCTAATGCAATATCTTTGGAGTGTGGCTGCGTACCAGAACCTCAAATCTGTGTATCGCTCCTACCCTTTTGTCTTCTCTCCAATCCATGCCAAATACTCCCACCAACTTTCCCTGTGGCTGAAAAGCTGAAGAGAGCAGCGCTACTCTTTATACTCTTTTAGACCATTTACAACACAGTTTCACTTCAAATCTGATCCTCAACAATTTTCATTGCTTGTGTCTTTGGGCCTGTGTTCAGATTGAGCCTGACAATAGTGATTGCAGTTTTAAAAACAATACATTATTGACTGTACAGCATTTTGATGTGTATTGAGGGCATAAAAGATGCTATGTAAATGTAAACCCTTTCTTCACATGAATGAATTTTAAAAATAAACATTGCTAAAACAGGTACAAGTTTGAAGCTTCTGTCTGCATTCACCAGGACTGGAATGTAAGTAACTTAACTTTAAAGGGAACACCGACTTCAATGTTTTGTTCCTTGTGTTTCAGTCCTGATAAGTGCAAAATGAAAAGCTCCAACTTTGTGCTTCTTTTAGCAGTGTTTAAGTTCTGTATTACCAAACAATTATTTCAATACCACGAAACCATTCTTATGAACAATAGCTACAAGAGCAGGTCAGAGACGAGGTGCAGTGAGTAACTCACCTCCTGACTCCCCAAAGCCTGTCCACCATCTACAAGGCACAAGTCAGGAGTGTGATGGAATATTCCCCATTTGTCTGGATGAGTGCAGCCCCAACAACACCCTGGCAGCTCAAGGCCATCCAAGCCAAAGCAGCCTGCCTGATCAGCAACCCATCCACCACCTACAACATTCACTCTCTCCCAGCAGTGTGTACCATTAACAAGACACTCTGCAACAGCTCACCAGGGTTCCCTCAACTGGATCTTCCAAATTTACAAACATGGTCATCCGGAAGGACAAGGGCAGCAAATGCAAGGGAACACCACCACCTGCAAGTTCCCCTCCAAGCCACACACCATCCTGACATGAAACTCTATCATTGTTCCTCTGCTGTCACTAACAGAAATGTGGAAGTGCTCACATTAAATGGACTGCAGTAGTTCAAGAAGGCACTTCACCACCCTCTCAAGAGCAATTAGGGATCAGGAATAAATGAGGGTCAGCCAGTGATGTCTACATCCCCTGAATGAATACAGCATATCATAACAATAAACTCCAAAATGCCTTGACATCTTGCTTCTCTGAAACAAGGATAGCTTTGAATTACACCAAAACCTGGGTCAAACCTAAAGCAAGACATTTAGAGTCATAGAGTTATACAGCATAGAAACAGACCCTTTGGTCCAACTCATCTGCACTGACCAGACATCCCAAACTGACCTAGTCCCATTTGCCAGCATTTGACCCACATCCCTCCAAACCCTTCTTATTCATATACTCATCCAGATGCCTTTTAAATGTTGTAATCATACCTGCCTCCATTAGTTCCTCTGGCAGCTCGTTCCATACACATGAAAAAGTTATCCCTCAGGTCCTTTTTAAATCTTTCCCCTCTCGCCTTAAACCTATACCCTCTAGTTTTGGACTCCCCTAACCTAGGAAAAATACCTTGGCCATTCACCTATCCATGCCCCTCATGATTTTTATACAACTCTATAAGTCACCCCTCAGCCTTCGATGCTCTTGAGAAATAAGCCCTAGCCCATTCAGCCTCTCCCTATAACTCAAACCTTCCAGTCCTGGCAACATACTTGTACATCTTTTCTGCTCCGTCTCAAGTTTAACAATATCTTTCCTATAGAAAGCCAATCAGAATTTTACGCAATATTCTAAAAGTGGCCTCACCAATGTACAGCTGCAACATGACATCCCAACTCCTATACTCAATGTTCTGAGTAATGAAGGCAAGTGTGCCAAATGCCTTCTTCACCAGCCTTTCTACCTGTGACTCCACATTCAAGGAACAGTGCACCTGCACCCAAGGTCTCTTTGTTCAGCAATACTCCACAGGGCCCTACCACTAACTGTATAAGTCCTGTCTTGGTTTACCTTAATGCAACTCAACACCTCAAAATTATCTAAATTAAACTCCATCTGCCACTCCTTGTCCCATTTGCTCATCTGATCAAGATCCCAATGTACTCTGAGGTAACCTTCTTCACTGTTGGCTACATCACCAATTTTGGTGTCATCTGCAAACTTACTAACCACATCTCCTATATTGACATCCAAATCATTTATAATAAATGATGAAAAGCAGTGGACCCAGTATTGATGCTTGTGGCACCCCCCAGTCATAGGCCTTCAGTCCGAAAAGCAATCCTCTACCACCACTCTCTGTCTCTTACCTTCAAGCCAATTTTGTATCCAATTGGCTAGCTCCCCTTGTATCTCATGTGATTAAACTTATTAACCAGTCTACCATATGGAACCTTGTTGAATGCCTTACTGCAATCTATATAGGTCACGTCAAACGCTCTACCTTCAATCTTCTATGTCATTTCTTCAAAAACTCAATTAAGTTAGTGAGGCATGATTTCCCACACACAAAGCCATGCTGACTATCCCTAATTCATCCTTGCCTTTCCAAATACATATAAATCCTGCCCTTCAGAATCCCATCCAAAAACATAACCACCACTGATGTAAAGCTCACCAGTCTATAGTTCCCTGGCTTTTCCTTACAGCCTTTCTTAAACAATGGCACAACATTAGTCAACCTCCAGTCTTCCCGCACCTCGCACGTAGATGTCGATAATACAAATATCTCAGTACGGGGTCAAGCAATCACTTCCCTACCTTTCCAAAAAATTCTGGGAAACACCTGATCACGTCCCGGGGATTTATCTACCTTTATGAGTTTTAAGACCTCCAGCACCTCCTCTTCTGTAATATGAATGCTTTTCAAGATATCAGTATTTATTTCCCCAAGTTCTCTAGGTTCCATGTTCTTCTTCACAGTAAATACTGACACAAATATTCAGTTAATATCTCACCCATCTCCTGTGGTTCCACACATAGACAGCTATGTTGATCTTTAAGGAGCCCTATTGTCTCCATAGTTACTCTTTTGCCCTTAAGGTACTTAGAATCTTTTTGGATCCTCCTTAACTCTATTTGCCAAGGCTATCTCATGTCCCCTTTCTGCCCTCCTGATTTCTCTTTTAAGTATACTCCTACAGCCCTTCTACTCCTATAGGGATTCACTCAATCCCAACTGTCAATATCTGACATATGCCTCCTTTTTCTTGACCAGGGCCTCAATTTCTCTAGTCATCCAGCATTCCCTATACCTGCCAGCCTTGCCCTTCGCCCTAATTGGAACATACTGTCTCCGAACTCTCATCTCATTCTTAAAAGCCGCCCACTTACCAACCATCCCTTTACCTGTGAATAGCCTCCCCCAATCAACTATTGAAAGTTCCTGTGTAATACCATCAAAACTGACCTTATTCCAATTTAGAACTTTAACTTTTTGATCAGTTCTATCCTTTTCCGTAACTATTTTAAAACTAATAGAATTATGATCACTTGCCCCGAAGTGCTCCCCCACTGACACCTTAGTTACTTGCCCTGCCTTATTTCCCAAGAGTATGTCAAGTATTGCTCCTTCTCTTGTAGGCACATCCACATATTGAATAAAGAAAGTTTTCTTGTACACATTTAATAAATTCCTCCCAATCCAAGCCCTTAATCCTGTGACAGTCCCAGTCTAACATTTCCCAACTGTTACATAAGAAAAAGAAAATATTCCTTCTCATTTAATTCCTTATAATACTGGCAAGTCCATACTCTTTGTTTACAATGTTTCTACGTTGTAATCCATTATAGTTGGATTCTGCAACTTTACATTTTCATAATCAGAAGACCTTAGGTCAATGTATTTGGCAAAGACATCACTCAGTATCTTGTTTCCCATTACACTTAGAATACAAATGTACAATACCCTGGAGTTTCAAAAGTCTATTTCCTGCACTGTGACCCTGTACAAGAGTGAGTAATCATCTATCCCCCCCATTAGATTTTCCATTACCCAAGAATAACTTGAGTTTATGCAAATACCGTATGAGAAGTTGACAGGAATCATACTGAGTTTCACTTCTCACAAACACATTACAAAGTGATGATCAGCTACATTACAGCATCGATAATTTAAAGGAGCTGATAAATAGTTGTATTCGCTTGAGTGAATTGTTGTACCTCCTGTCTTAAATTTAGAGATACCTGGTAGGTTCAGTTCAATATTACCAGCAGCCCAAGTAGCCGCGGCTCACGTGTGAAACTGGGCAGCAGCTGGATTTTCATGGCATTAGATTTTACAGCAAAACACAAACCAGTCAGATTGCTACTACAAGCAGAAATGAAAGGTAGATAAATTTTCCCTTTCTAGCTTTGGGCTGCTGAGCTGACTTCTACAACTTCATCACCATGCTAGCCAATATCATCCAGTTCTTTGCAAGTATATACAGCTCAAAGCTCTTGTGGAGCAGGGATACTGTCCCTACCTCTGAGCCAGAAGGTCTAAGTTCAAGTCCCACCTGCCCCAGATGTGTCACAATGTGTATGAACAGATTGATTAGAACTATCTATACTATAGCTACAGATTGAACCGTGGAATCTTCACTCATACTTGTCCATCACTTTACTAAGTTTCACAAGTAGGCTCAAACCTTCTTTCTGGTATGTAGTAGTTACACATTTTCTATTGCTTAATCTATGTTTATCATGTTATAAATCTTGGATTCCAGCATGAGTGATTGTAAAAAAATTGTTTTTTGTTCTAATGAAGTTACAGCTCTGAAACTCAATTTAAAACAAATATTTAGTTTCTAGTAATCCATCAACACTGGCTCCTCCAGTGTTCTCCCTCCCTCCAATTTTCTCA